ATATATATCATATATATATATATATATATATATATATATATATATATATATACTATATAATATATATATATATATATACATATATTATACTATATATATACATATATATATATATATATACATATATATATACATATATATATATATATAATATATATATATATATATATATATATATATATATATATATATATATATATATATATATATATATATATATACTATATATATATATATATATACATATACATATACATATACATATACATTACATATACATATATATATACATATATATATATATATATATATATATATATATATATATATATAATATATATATATATATTTACATATATATATGGGTAATGGTTAATGGTTGAAACAAATAAATGTACTAAACATCAAAGGTAATATAGTACTATAGTAAAGTAATGTGGTAAAAAGGGTAAAAATGAGTTGACAATTTGGATGAAATGTGTTAAATTCCAAAGGGTATAGTGTGTTATAAGACCATATAATAGGGAAAAGGGTGAAGAGGGGGTGCAAATGAAGTAAATTGGAGATATGTAAAGAAAAGGGTTAAGGGCACAGGGCAACTGGTTAAAATGGAGCGTAGCTGTGGCTGAGGAAGCTATAGGAAAATTGCTTTATGGAAAGCTGGCAAAAGAGCTATTAGGAAATAATCAACGGATAATACAGGTAGAGATGGCTGTTGGAGAAGTAGCTGGAGAAGAATTCAGGGGATGAGGTAAGGGGACTGAGGAAGGTGGTGAAGTATCAGGAAGAGTGTCAGGCAGGGAGAGATCCAGAGAAGGACACTGTTGCAACAGAAGGGATTCACATGAGTATCCACGTGGAAGAGGTACAGATAATGGGGAACGAAGAAGGAATGGTGCAGATGTGTGTTGGGAGAGAGTGGGAGGAAGAGGGTTAGAGAGAACTTGAGGGGAATAGAATGGATATCAGCAAATACTTTGACTACAGAGGGAATAGGAATAGAGGGCTTGGAGGGTGGATGAGAGAGCAGAACATTCTCTTGGGTCATGTCTAGGAATTTTCAGAAGTCTTCAAGAGTTTCTAGAGGGAATTTGAGTGGAAAGGTCTGAGAAACAAAAGGTTTTCTTGTGAGGATGACAGGACAGGATAGATGTTCAAGGAGCAGAGGAAAAGGAGGGTGTAGAAGAGGATGTGGTCGGCAACGATGGAGTGGAATGATTAGGCTGTCTGGTGTGACAGGTAAGATGAGGAGGGGTAGGCATTAGAGAAGTGGTTGAGGTTGGAGTATCTGGATTTAGACAGGAAAAGGAATTTGACTGGGGGAAAGGGAGAGTAATGGTTAATGGTTGAAATAAATAAATGTGCTAAACATCTTAGGTCTTATAGCACTATGGTAAAGTATTGTGGTGAAATGGGTAAATGAGTTAACAATTAGGTTAAATGTCAAAGGTAATAGAGCATTATAGGATAGTATGATAGGGAAAATGTATCTGTTGCTGGAGAAGCCATAGAAACATTGCTTTAAGGGAAAACTGGTAAAAGAGCTATTATGAAATAATCAATGGTAATAAGGGCTGTTGAAGAAGTAGCAGAAGAGTCTGGGGGATGAGAAAAGGGGACTGGGAAAGGAGGTGAAGTATCAGGAAGAGTGTCAGGAGGGGAAGAATCCAGAGAAGGACACTGTTCCGACAGAAGGGATTCACATGAGTATCCAGGTGGGAGAGGTAAGGATATTGGAGAATGAAAATGAAATGGTGTACATGGAAAAGGAAACAATGGGGGTGTGTTGGGAAAGAGTAGGAGGAAGAGAGGTAGAGAAAAACTGTGGGGAGGAAGATTGATATCGGCAAATACTTTGAATGTAGAGGGACTAGGAACGACGAAGGGAAGGGCAAGAAAACACACGAATATGCCGAAGGCCTTTTCACTATTGCTTCGTCAGGGTAATAATATATAATAATAATAATAATAATAATAATAATAATAATAATAATAATAATAATAATAATAATAATAATAATAATATCAATAATAATTATCATAATTATAACAAATTGCTTTTAAAAATATTATGTCTTGTATTCTTATCTAATGCTTAAACAATACAGTTTAAGAATATTAGGAATGGCTATAAACAGGCACATTTTAGGGTCTATATTTTACTTCCAACAATAAATAGAGCTATGATAAAGTACAATTCCCTTAACACAAAATTTCCATTAATCATAGGATTTTATCAATACAAAGCTAATCACTTTATACAAAGTTTCACTACACCTAATCAAATGTAATAATTTACATATTCTGAAACATTTTTTCAATATATTGCAAATTCCAAAACATCTGAAATGTCTTATATTTTGAAATGTTTCCTTTTAATATCCTAAAGCTGGAACAAAATCATTCTGCTCTTTAACTGGAAAAAAAATCAGATTTGTAAAGAACAAACTGCATATATTCTTGCAAATTCTGCATCTCTCATGTTATTCTACATCATTGACCACTGCAGAGGTATGAAAATGTGAATTCTTGTGCCTACGGATAGTCTTTTAACTTTTTTTCATGTTTTTAATACTTTGGTGATTATTACCACATCCTAGGATGCACCATGTATAAAAATATATTTTAATATTCTACCTTAAGAGTTAGTTTAATCTTCATCACTGCTCCAGGTATCTTGAGTCACCTGGCCTCTAGTCTTCCGTCTTACTCCTCCACCTGTACTTCTCACTCTCCTTCTCTCTGTTCCTCTTTCCTCCACCGCTACTTCTTCCACTATTTCTTCCTCTGCCACTTCCTCCTCATCCTCCTCTTCCTCTTCCTCCTCCTCTTCAGGTAAATCACTAGTCAACAACCTCTTGGGTGTCCACGTTATGAAATTACGATCAGTGCCAAAGCTATATAGGTCCATAGAGGAGGGGTTGTACACTGCCCCTAACACCGTGGAGAAATGCCCCCTGAGAACATTGACCATCTTCCCTGAGAAGATCTCATACACCAAAATCTTGCTCTCAGAAGGAATGAACACCAGGTCAGGATAGGTATTGGTAGTTACAGACATGCGCAGTGGCCGCTTGAGCTCTGTGTAGGTCTCACCATAGTCCACCATCATGTTCTCACCACTGGCTGAGTTCCACAGACGTAAGTCGTTGTCATAGCTGAAGGAGAGCAACCACAGGCCATCTGTGGTGAAGCAAAGGGAGGTGACACGGTTCTTGTGAGCCACAGGGGTCCTCTTGGCTCGCTTCTTCCTATGGGGTGTCTCAGTGCGGTTCTCCATATCTAGGTCCATGAGGTGGGCCCTCCCTGCTCGCACATCCCACAACTTGATGGTTTGGTCCCTTCCACCTGATGCTAGAATATACTGATTGCTGGGTGACCACTGAATCACATTCACTGGCCCAATGTGCCCAAGTAGGCGGTGAGCTGATGAACCACTGCGCATGTCACAAAGGATCACTTCACCTAAGAACAATTGATGTTTTTGTTTTTAATTTGAAAAAAAAAGGTTAAATTATATTGTCTTTCAAAACTGAAAGCATGTCATCATCAACAGATTGTTATGTTCTTGCAATTATTATGATCATTTTCATCATTATCATTATTATTGCTATTACCATAGTAATTATCATTATCATTTTTATTATAACCATTACTATAAGTATTATCATAATTGCTATTATCAATCTTCTCATTACTTTCTGATTTAATGAGATCTAGTGCAAATGTAAAAGCAACCAGGTATTATAGCTTAATCCCAGATATCAACTGAAATGACTCTGTGCACAATGGTTACAAAGTACATCCAAAATCCAGGAAGAGAAGAAAAAATGAAGTAGAACCCACCCAGCAACTCCTTAAGCTCTAAAGCTTGAGCTGCCTCAATCAAGCATACTGTATTTACAAAAAAGCTTGAGCTTGAGTGGTTTGTGATGAATGGCTGAATGCAACATGTTTGAATTATTGTATTTAAAATCATCATCACCAGCTCGTCATTTTCAAGTAATTAGGCTATTCTCACCACCCTATCAACCCACCATCAATCATCACTATCCTTTACCTAGAAAGAAATAGAACAAGAAAAAGAAAAAGAAAAAGAAAAAAAGGAAAAGAGAAGAGAGAGAGCATATGTTTGGTAATGTTGGACACCATTCTCCTAGCCTCAAGGCTGCAGAGAGCTAATCCACCCCTATATCTATGCCTCACTAGTCCTTTTCCTATGTGTCTCGGTGGCTTCTCCTCCTGCCTGATCTTCCCTCGGCACCCATACCGAGCCATCAGAGACCAGAAGGACTAATGAATCATCAACAGCATAGGCAGCAGAGACCATTGTTTTATGTTACCTTACTATTGTGCTGTACCTGATAGTCAATAAATAATTACATTATATGACACTTGATCGAAAAGCGGTCATTGCAAGAATCAGCACAAAAATCTGACCTACATAATTGTATACAAAGCAGAGTAACTGTAAAATGCTAATTAAGTCTTACTAAAGTGTCATTTGATGTAATTCTGTGCTGACTGCCAGCTACAACACAGCAGTCAAAGTTTTTTGGCAATATCACAAAAAAGTGTTACTAGGTGTGGAGGACTCCTACAAGGGACTAGGTTACCTATGCTGCTGATATTTCTTTCGTCCCCAACAGTACCATAAAACCAAACTTGCATAAATTTTACACATATTTCCTATTCACTTCTCAACTTTATCAGCACAAAACTCACACCCAACTTCTGAAACAAACAAAAAAAAAAGGGTAATTTTCCCCTAACTAAATGTCACACTATCACTTACCTGTATCAGCTCCAACAGAGAGAAGTGAATGTTTTGTTGCAACAGGTGACATGTGGTGGTGCAAGACATGACATTCTAAACGAAACTGGTCTACCGGCTTCATGCAATTGGGGTCCCATATTTTCACTTTCTTGTCTCTGCTGGAGGTTGTGAAGAGTCCTGTATCTGCTGGGTACCACTGGACACAGTCAACCTGATGGAGACCCAGGACTTGGGTTAAACTGGCTATAAATGCTCTGGTTCAAGTATTCATGGGCCCTGAGATCTATCATGTTTTAATATCTTTAATACACCTTACCAAGAGCAATGCATATCATTTAATTTATTTATCTTTTTTATGCTTGCTATTTTTGCATGTATATATTTTTGTATGTTTATCTGAATCCCCTTGCTCTAAGCAACTATACTTTCACTGTAAACAAGCAATACATAGGTAGCAGCTTGCAGGAGAAGGAGGGAGAAGTAACATTGGGTTTCTGGCAGTTCATCCTGCCTCCTGGAGCTGACTGGACCTAGGCAAGTTTCTGTACCTTTTTTATGTGCCTATGCTTGTGATTTATTTAATGATTAATTATCTATTTTTCTGAATCTAACAATAAATGCACTTAATGTTGAGCTAATTTTTTTACCCAATGTCGACGGGAAGATGGTGCATTCCCTTTGATAATGCTTGGTTAAATGTTTCTGCACATAGGATGGCTCTGCCATGCTTAGCCAAAAAGGAGACAATTAGTAGATCTTGTGACCTCACTATTCCTTGAAAAAGTGGGAAAATGCCTTTTTTTTACTATGGTATCAATATTGACTCTGTTATTTTTGTTATCAACATTATAATTACTATATTATTACTGAAATTACTAACAGCAGTATCAAGTATTAGAAAATATCATCGAAAATCAAGGAAAAGGGTAAACAGATAAGACAGGTAGTTCATGTAACTGGCATATTGGTGACAGTACTTGTGCAGCGATCTATATGTAAAAACAATTACTAAATTCAACACACTCAATGGGAAATGACATGTATGTACATGCCATTCCCGGCGGCTTGGGGTTAATTAACCTTCGTGCCTATCATACTCTTGCATCAAAGCAGGGGTGGTTTCCTACAATATAAATGTTATGGAAAATATATGTATTTTCAATCATAATCATCATTGGGGAGCTAATGCCAACAGGGGTACAGAGCTGCATCCACCCTTCATTTCCACCTACAAGGATCCCTCATGGCAAGCCACCAGGCAGGGCCTCAGCCTATCTCTAGCTCCTCACACCAGCGTTGATCAGCTGATCAATCTGTCCAAGTCACGACTTCCTATGTTATTCTTCAGGCCTCTTCCACCTAGAGTTGTTTCAAATAGAAACAACCTGGTGGCCAGGTCTGACCTGTTGGAAGCAAGCCAGGTGCGTGTATAGCCTGAGCTGGCTGTCCAGATTGTGCAATTAACAGGTCCTGTAGCAGTATCACAGTGTAACCGTCGGTTGGACATGTGGTTCTAACTTGATATTGCATTAAATCAAGTTCATGTCTAACTACTCCAGCCTTACTGTTCTTCATTTCTTCCTAGCTTTTCAGACAGTCATTCCTACTCCTCTACAGGCTTACAAGTACAAGTCCCCTGTTTTCTAACCATAAGTCTTTGTAGTCTCAAAACAAGAGCTCATTTCTCTCCCAACTCACATCCACCTGCGACATGGTTGACTCTTGCATACTGACCTCAGAATTCCTCCTCCTCCTTTCCCCATGGCTGTTTTTTGTAAAGACAGACCATTTTGGTAAACTAGACCAGATCTCAACTCAGACTCTGAAAACACCTGGATTCAAATTCAAGCATGAAACTACAAATCTATCCTTATCTCTGAATCTGGACTAATCCAACCAGACAATCTCAACCCCTGTGATAACTCTAACTTCCTTCAACCTCATCTCCGTCATCTCTCACACAAACAGAAAGTAACTCCAAGACACTTTCAAAGAAATCATTAATGCATATTCATTCTCACAATATTTCCCCAATCAACCTGAACACAAACCCAATGGTGATACTAGTCCTCCTTTCATTACATCAAATACACCAAACTTATTTCTCACTAACAAAATTCTCCATTTGATAATCACTCAAGTCATCCAAGGACTTAAGACCATGACATAGGGCCTAATACTAGCAGATACTGACATGGAACCAACAAGACTTGTAGACTCTCCAATATTTCTCTACTCTATGAGCTGTGAATAACATAATTAGATAAAATTAGACTCATTACAGCAGTCCAGAACATTCTCACAGAAGGCCTCTGTCCACAAACAAGCACAGCCTGAAACATGCCATACATGCTGCATGACCAACCACATTACAAAAGGGTAATATCAAAACATTGGAAGAAACAGAAAGCCTATAAAGATATACATTTTGGAAATATAGTCACATTATATGATCAAAAAAAATTGCCAGATACCTGGTACTTGTGGCTTCCTCTCTGGCCTCCTTTAACTGACCCAACCTCAGCATAAACCCTTCCTTCTTTAATGGACAATGTGTCGTAGATTGCAACACCACCATCACTCAGACCACAGAGTAAGTACTGTGAATCTACGCACTCCAAGTCAGCGTGTGTTACAAAGGTTGTGCCAATCTGTAAATGTGGTGAATACAATTAGTTCTTTATCTGCATGGAAATTCTAATTACTTATAAGCCTTATTTCCT